GGGGCCCCTCCCCCCTCCACTCTGTATCACAGCCAGAGATGGTCTCGGGAGGGGCTGGGTAGGGGTGGGTTGCTCTATGTTGCCATGAGCCTTCAACACCAGCTTTGTCATGCCCAGCTTAAGTGGCGTCCATCCCAAAGTCTCAGCCAACATCTTCCCTCAGTGCTGGTAGCAGGGTGTTCTCTGCAGCCCTCCTTAGGACCAGGTGCCAATGACTGTGGAAGCTATGGGACCCCATCCCAGCTGCTGGTGACTGTCTAGTTCCATTGCTGTCCATTGGCGTGATCATGGCTCATCCAGGCTTCATCTCCCCCCCCATAGTCTCTCTCCTCTTCCAAGTACTGCTGATGTTGGAGGGGCGTGGGGCTGGATAGGAGGCATCTCCTTATGATGCAGTCACATCGCTAACCTCCCACATCTCTTGTCTGGGGTTTCCTTTCTGGGGTGGTGGCGGGGGGATTGCTAGGAAAATGACCAAAAGCGAATTCGAGCCCTGAAGAAAGCCAACAAGGAGAAAGAGCTGAAGAAACAGAGGGTGAAGGAGCTGGCCAAGGCCAAGCTGGACATGGCAGTCCTAAAACAGGAGCACCAGCGGCTCTCTAACAAGCTGCAGCAGTACTCCATCTTCAACAAGTACCTGGAGAAGGTGGTCGAGATGTCGGAGGTGAGCCTGCACGCTCCCACGTGCTGAGATGGGGAGCTGAGATGGGACCATAGGCAGGGGCAAAAGTCTCAGGGGAAGATGAGGCAGGGCCCAGGGTTCCCTGCAGCTGGGTTAGTGCAGAGAGCATAGAGAAGCTGAGATGGGTTTCCCTTGTGCTAGAAAGGACCCGGAGAAGGGAGCAGGGCCGTGTGGGAGGGACCTAGGGAAGGGGCTGAAGGTTTTAGCAAAGTGGAGGTGGGACCCCAGGGGCCTGGCCAAGGGAACAGAGAGTAAGGCTGGGATGAGCAGGGCCCTCCCATGTATGCGTGGGATACTCAGGCTAGGGGAGGTGTGATATTTTCCTGGGATGGGGTGATAATGAAGCTAGGGCACAGGAGATACGCTGGTGTGATAAGGATACTCTGGGGCAGATGTGCTATTCTCCCCTGTTAGAGGGGACGGGATGTCCTTCCCTGCCTGGGCTGGGTATCAATGCCACCAAGTGGCAGTGTGATAGGCTGCTGTGCGCCATGCTGGGCTATGGGGCAGTAATGCCCAGGGCGCTGTGCTGCAGTTTGAGGAGATACGGGAAGTCATTGGCCGGTACAAGACGCTGGTGGGCATGCACCAGGATCTCATGCAGTCGGCGCAGGAGGGGCTGGAGATGATTGAGCAGGCGAAGGTGCGCCTGTCGCACTACACGGAGGAGAAGGATGACGAGATCCTGCAGCACAACAACAAGCTGGCGCGCCTGCAGATGCGCTTCGACCACGCCCGCAGCGATGTCATTGTCTGGGTAAGGCGGGTTCCCATACATGCGCCCTGAGGCAGCCCTCTTCCTCCCCCCAGACTCAGGCAGGTGAACTCCCCCAGCTTGCTGGGCAGTGGTAGGACAGGAGGCTGGCAAGGCAGCAGGATACTGCAACCCTGTTTGCTGGGTGGGTCCCTCACCCCTGACCCAATGGGTCACCCCAGAGTTCAATCTGTGACTGCACTGGGCCAGGAGGACAGACCCTGGGTTTCAGGGTGCTGGTGGGTCACAGAATCATAGACGTTAGCCCTTGTGCATAGCAGGAAAGTTCCACTAGGTCGATTTCAAATCAGTCCGTCTACACCAGGGCAAACCCTTGCCACGATTTAAGTCTTGCCTGCGTTGGTTCTGCCTGGCGACCTAAGCTAGACTGATTTAAGAGAGGCGTAACCCAGCGTAAGGCCCTGATTCATCGGAGTACTGAACCGTGGGCCAGTGGGACTCCGCCCACACGTCATGTTAGGCACATGTTGCTGAGTCAGGGTCACTGTGCATCTACACTAGGGGGTGCCTGGGGGTGACAATAAAGCAATGGCATGACCTGGGGGCATTGTTTCTAATTTAGACCAGACTGCTGGGATATGAGAGACCTGTTTGGTCATATCCAATCTATCCCCCCAGGGCCAGGGCTGGATTGTTCCCCACAGGAAGACCTCCATGGCTTTGTCTAATGTAGCTGTAAAGGCCTCAAGTCTTGGGGCTTTCACCAGTCCCTTGGATGATGATCCCAGGGCTCAGAAACCTCAGCATGGATATGGTTTTGCATATGTTCAGTCTTTTCTTTGACCAGTTGTAATCCATGACTCCAAATTATACCCCTTGATTCACCCCTTTCTGCTCCCTATTTTCTATTTATACCCTTCAGATACTTGCAGCTAGTTGTCATGGTCCTCCCAGTTCAGCCAGGGCCCTGTGAGTGATGGGATGACGTGCCTGTGTAAATAGCTGCATAATTCCCCGTTTTAGAAGTGGCCGCAGAATTGTGCTCTGCAATCCAAGCTTTCGTTTAAAATCACAACAAAAGTGAAGAAAACCTTCCAAATGCGACTCATCCTGTCTCATTGTTTGGTTCTGGTTCCTTCCCTATTTCTAGTACTGTTAGATTTGTACCATTACCTCTTTGAACAGTCCCTGATGAAGGCACACTGGCTGCTGCTGCTGGTGTGGATTGTTTTTCTTTCCCAGCGGCATTACAATCTGCATCTGCTGCCCCTTTAGCAGGGTATTTTTTAGATTTCCCCAGCCCTTTCCAGTGCTCCCGGACTGTCCATACATCTCCCCTCTGCACCATGCTCACTAGACTTAGCTCCCCAAACCAGCTCTTGTGAACTCTGACCTGCTTGTGCAGGTGCATTCTGGGAACTTGCCACTACGCTGCTGAATTCCCTTAATGATGATCACCAGCTATGGCTCATGATCCTGAGCCGAGCCGAGACTTTTCCAGATGTGAATGGAAGTGAAAGGACAGATTGATGCTGTGTAGTGTCCAGGGCAAGGGTGGGTACTGCCCAGGTAGCAGATGGGCCGCTATCATATTGGCATCTGCAGTGCTTCGCCAGCCTCTCTGCTGAGCAGCGTATTTCTATGATTTCTGCTGTCCTCTCCTCTCTCCGCAGGAGTCTCGCTGGGCCCACATCCAGAACACAGCCGCCAAGAAAACCCTCATGCTGGGCACCATCAAGATGGCCACCCTGAACCTCTTCCAGAGCGTGAGCAAGCAACTGAAGGAGACCTTGAGCGTGCCCGTGGAGGACACCCACAAGCAGCTGGACATGGTACAGCCAGGCTGATGCCCACCCCTCACCCCGGGCTCAGGGAAGGAGAGCAGCACCTGCCCCGGCTGCAGGCTCTGCAGAGGAGAGGGCCAGGAGAAAACAGAGTGTCTCAGGCACCTCACCCCATCCTGGACAGGACTCTCTAGGACAGAGCTGGGGTGCCGTTGGCAGAGCAGAGGGGGGTGAACACCAGCAATAAATGAGCATGGAGTCTGAATTGACTCTGGTCCCCTCTTGCCCCAGAGAGGGGCCAGTGCAGGGGAAGGAGGGTCTATGTGTGGAGGCACAAGGCTGGATGAATTGGGACGGCGGGTGACTGAACTGGCTACAAATCCCTTGTGTATCTGGGCCATAGCTCCATGCTTACATTAGCTGGCTCCCTGCCCTCAAAGACTGGCCCCCAAAGAGCCATCCCACTTGCTCTGAGCTGGGGATGCAAATGTCCAGTCCTCCTCCTCTGCAGCCCAATTTAAAGCCATGGGAAATGTGCCTTTCAGAGCAGCCAAACACTTGCCATTCATGCTGCAAAAGCCATTCCAAGCAGTCCTAAACCTCCAGCACTGCCATCTCTCTTCTCCACCCCAGATCCAGCAGTTCATCCAGGACCTCTCCGACATCTGGGCAGAGGTGAAAAAGAAGGACATCCAAAGCCGATCAATGATAGTTGTGGTCAAGGACGTGTAAGGGAAACACCAACTGCCCCTGTTCTGCCAAGGGAAGGCTTGGCCAGCTGAGACAGGAAAGGAAAGGATCTCCCATGGATGCTGCAGACTGTACTTCAATGCTCTCCATCCTTCTGGCTCTGAGCTCCTATGCAAACAGAGACCGGCCATGTTATAAAGACAATGTATTCTAAGGACCACATCATTTTCATGGGGTTTGTTCCTCGCATTACATTAAAAACCACCCCATAGCGCCCTGACATAGAGCTGGGGGAATTTCTCCACTTACACTTTGTTGTTGAAAAATATAACATAAGAATGGCCATACTGGGTCAGACCAAAGGTCCATCAAGCCCAGTATCCTGTCCTCTGACAGTGGCCAATGGCAGGTGCCCCAAAGGGAATGAACAGACAAGTTATCATCAAGTGATCCATGCCCTATCACCCAATCCCAGCTTCTGGCAAACAGAGGCTAGGGACACCATTCCTGCCGATCCTGGCTAATAGCCATTGATTGACCTATCTTCCATGAATCTATCTAGCTCTCCTTTGAACCCCGTTATAGTATTGGCCTTCACAACACCCTCTGGCAAGGAGTTCCAGAGGTTGACAGTGCATTGTGTGAAAAAATACTTTCTTGTGTTTGTTTTAAACCTGCTACCCATTAATTTCATTAGGTGGCCCCTTGTTCTTGTATTATGAGAAGGAGTAAATAACACTTCCTTATTTACTTTCTCTATACCACTCATGATTTTATAGACCTGTATCATATCCCCCCTTAGTCGCCTCATTTCCAAGCTGAAAAGTCCCAGTCTTATTATTCTCTCCTCATATGGAAGCCGTTCTATACCCCTAATCATTCTTGTTGCCCTTTTCTGAACCTTTTCCTATTCCAATATATCTTTTTTGAGATGTGGCGACCACATCTGCACACAGTATTCAAGGTGTGGGTGTACCATGGATTTATATAGAGGCAATATGATATTTTCTGTCTTATTATTTATCCCTTTCTTAATGATTCCCAACATTCTGTTTGCTTTTTTGACTGCCGCTGCACATTGAGTGGATGATTTCAGAGCACTATCCACAATGACTCCAAGATCTCTCTCTTGAGTGGTCACAGCTAATTTAGACCCCATCATTGTATATGTATAGTTAGGATTATGTTTTCCAATGTGCATTGCTTTGTATTTATCAACATTGAATTTCATCTGCCATTTTTTTGCCCAGTCACCCAGTTTTGTTAGATCCTTTTGTAGCTCTTCACAGTTTGCCTGGGACTTAACTATCTTGAGTAGCTTTGTATCATCTGCAAATTTTGACACCTCACTGTTTACCCCTTTTTCCAGATCATTTATGAATATGTTAAATAGGACTGGGCCCAGTACAGATCCCTGGCGGACACCACTATTTACCTCTCTCCATTCTGAAAACTGACCATTTATTCCTACCGTTTGTTTCCTATCTTTTAACCAGTTACCAATCCACAAAAAGACCTTCCCTCTTATTCCATGACTGCTTATTTTGCTTAAGAGTCTTTGGTGAGGGACCTTGTCAAAGACTTTCTGAAAATCTAAATACACTATATCCACTGGATCCCCCTTGTCCAAATGCTTGTTGACCCCCTGAAAGAATTTTAGTAGATTTGGCTTGACCAAGATATTTCACAAACTTTTCCTGAATTCCCAAAAAATCCCCCCAAACTCCAAACGTTTCAACATTTTCTGACCAAAGCATTTCTTTAAAAAAAAAAAAAAGCCCAAACCAAAGTTAACTGTTTCATTTTGGGTCAGACAAAATGCTTAGTTCGACACCAAGTGAATTTTTTTTCAACTTTTTGATTTGCGGAAAATTTTGGTAATTGATTTTTCGGAATTGGTAGATGGTCCCAAAGAAACCAGTTATTTGCCCAGCTCTCCCTGGGCGGGGGGAGGGGGAGAAATGATTGCTCTCCCAGTGTAACGGCTATGAATCCTCTTTGGTACTGAGAGAGTGGGGTGTTCTGCATGGGGAAAGAACATCCCGGCGAACCCAACCCCAGAAAGGCACTAATAAGCAGACTGGGCAGAAACTGGTCTGACTGTTATGTATCCCCCTCTATCTGATTCCCTGAACCTCCTCCTGCGCCCAGGGACTGGCTCCAGTGTTTTCACATGAGCTCCCAAGGAATATTCCACTTCACTCAGGGACAGGTCATTTTCCCTAGGTAAAAATTTCCCCAGGCTGATATGGAGGGAATGGAGCGGCTCTCCCAGTCTGGCACGAGGCCTGGGAAGGAGAGCAGGTGCCCCGGGTTGGTGTGAGAGATTGAGGGGTGGGGGGCATGTGCCTGGGCTGGTTTCAGGGGCTGGGGGAGGGGAGCAGGTCCCCCAGGCTGGGGTGAGGGATTGAGGGAGGGGAGTGGGTGCAGGGGCAGGTTTGAGGGGCTGGAGGAGGAGAGGGTCTCCCAGGTTGGGGGGATGTTTGGGGGAGTTAGTGTCCCATGCTGGTGTGAGGGGTTGGGGGGAACAGAGAGAGTCTCCTGGGACAGTGGGAGGGATTGTGGGAGGAGCAGGTCTCTGTGACACTTCCCAGGGGTACCCATGTTTGTGAGGCACCTCGCTAACACCTGCCCTTAGCATGAGGGAGCCTTGTCTGTACCTGCCTGGGCTCAGTTCCATGACACCACCAGTTACTGGCAACACAAACATTCCCCCTTGGCCGCTGTGGGCCCCACTTTCTTTGTACAGGTTAGCGATAGGCACACATTAGTCCCTGTGTCCTCCATGTGTCCCCTGTAGTGTTGCAGCCCCCATCCACAGAATTACCCAGCCCACTGTTCCCGAAGGAACAGTGCATCACAGCTTACTAGTTATACTTTACCACAGATCCGCTCAGCACACAGCATGTAGCCATATTTCTAGTGAAAGCAAGAGTAAGTTTGTTATCACAGGCCAGAGATTCAAATGATAGCAAGTAAGAATATTGGAAACAAATGATTACATAGAAAATAAAATCATCACGTGCTTACTAGACCTAAACTTACCTCACAAGTTATCCTCGTGTCAGAGAAGTTTCTCTCATCCAACTTTCTTCCCAGCATGTTCAGCCAAGCCTGGCTAAGATCCCTCTGTCCTGAAGCAAAACCCACTGTCAGTTCACTTCCTCAGGGAAGGATCCTTGGGGATTCATCTGTTCCCCAGATATAATTTCAAATGTTCATTGTGATAACTCCTAAACAGGCTACCCCCTGCTGGTTTAATATTTTCCTGCAGCTCCAGCAATTGACTGATTCGCCTTTGGCTCCGACTGTAGATGGGCATCCGTTGAGAATTATACAATACTCAGTTTGCACATGGCCAGCCAAAGAGAGAAGTGTCTCTGCCCCCTGCCAGTGAGAAGCATGTGCGTCACCCTTTGGTGACCTGCCTTAATTCACAGTCCTAGCGAGCACCATTTTTAGACTATACACATAACTCCTCACATAGTTTTCCTGTGTATGTCTTGCATTGATGATGATGATCAGTGTGACACAAGCTTTCAGTAGAGACCTGACATGACATTCATGAGTGAACTAGTACGCAGATCCCAGACCCAAGGGATCCCTCTAACCCTTAGGCACTCTGTGCCCTCTGCCAGGTGGCACCAAGAGATCGCTGGGTCACAGACTCCCAGGCTGGTGTGGAGGTTTGGGGGGAGCAGGGCTGCTGGGCTGGTGTGGGGTCTCTCTTGACAAATACCCACCATCGTGCATTCTAAATAAAGGAGAGGGGTTGTTCCAAGCCTCTGGAGGGGGCAAAGTGAGGAACAATGGCTTGAGGCTGTCACCCTATTTCAGTTTGAGTTGGTATCTTAATCAATAGTTCTGTGTTAAAGCGCACTGTCCCTAGAGAGTGTGTCTGTCCCCAGGCTGCTCCAGTTTTACAATCAGCGGGGTGAGACTTACCCTGGAGGCTCTAGGAGCAGATGAAGAACAAACACAGCTACAAGTGAGCTATTGAGTCTTTACTGCAAGTTCCACTCCGCAGACAATCAATGTCATAATCACAAACAACACTGAGCGAGCCCGTGCAATACCCAGCTGTGTGTTCATACTCACATAGCCAGCAATATCAGAGAGCTTCACGGCTCTCTCAACAGGTGGCCATCCTTTGGTGGGGGGGGGTCTCCTGATGGGGCCTTTCCACCTTATCCATACCAGGGCAGGAAACCCTTTTATCCTGGGTTCTAACCAAGCCCACCACCTTATGCATATGTACAAGAGTTCCAATCCCCTTTTCCTTATCTGTACTTCTGCACCCCATAAAGGTTGGGGTACCCCACTTTCCACAGGTTACCCTCTTAGTTCCCTTTATTCTAGGGTTGGTTGCCAATTTTGGTTGGATGTATTCCTGGAGATTTCATCACGACATAATCTTTAATTAAAGATTAATTTTAATTCTTGGAGACTCCAGGCCAGTCCTGGAGGCTTGGCAACCCTACCTTATTTCCATTATGCATCTATGCAAACACGTCCCCATGGTAACCTGAGGTTCCGGCAAAAGTTCCCATGATGTTACATTCATGTCTTGCAGTCTAGACATTGTGGCATATTTTCCTGAACATCACCTCTGGGCACATTCTTTACAGGAATCTTGTAACTTTACTGATCCACAGTTATTCCTGGGTCACTTATGTCAACCCTCCGTAGGCCTGAGACCTAACATGGCTAAACTGAAATCTCACAAGCTTCACCATCCAGGCCTTGCAGTACTTACTGATATACCTGGTGTTATACTCCTATCATACTATCCTATGTAAACCTCTCTTTCACACCTGACTTAATTATATTGAATTGCCAAGGTACGGGCTGACCAATCTAGGCCAAGGGGACAGGGGACGCTCCAGGCACAACAGACGTGTGACAAGAAAGAGAACACAGGGACTTGGCTGCCCATCAGCCGTGAAACATTGCCAAGCATTAACGAGTTATTTATCATTCACATTTTCCATTCAGACTTCACTGGCCTCAGAGCAACAGCCTGCAGGCTTGTCTACACAGGA